CAAAACTCCTGAGGAAGTATTTACAGCAATATCTAATACAATCTTTGAGACACGAGTACAGAAGAAAAGATTGTTGTTGTGTGGAGGATGTTATTACAAACAAGCACACAAAAAATTTCATAAACGAAGACAGCAAGCACAAAGGATCATGTTCCTTCTTTTTTTGATTAAAAAGACAACGGCTCCTACATTAAGAAGCACACTGTACAGGAATGCTTTGCTCACAGGTGAATAATATGATTCTTTATCTCTTAGTTAATTGGGAATTTTTTGAGAACTTTAGTCAGGAGAAATGGGTAATATGAAAGCTGTACATCTGACCTTTTCAGCTGTATAAATAATTATATAAATCATATTTTAATTTACCCTTGTATTTCTTAGTTCTGGAAAACTACAAGATAGGAGAAATAGATTCATCTTCAGTATATTATTCTTTTTTATGAATGTTCATAATCATAGGAGGTTCATTCATGAGAATTCTCACAAGACATTTCCTTTTTTTTTATCAGTTATCAGCCCTTCACACTTTCACATTCTCCTCCCAGTGGTGTTCACATTCCTTTATCTTTTCTTCTTGGCTTCCAGTATCTTGTATCCTTGGTAAGAAGTGCTAGTGTTGGTACGTAACTGTGAAGAGTTAGCTGCTGACTCTATGTGAAGCCCAAAGCAGCTTAAACAAGTGCTTTCTCTAAGGGAGAAAGACTTTCATTCATTTCTCACTGTACCAGGTGGATTATACAGTAGGATGCTGGAGTGGATAATAAAGCACTAAGTAAGATAGGAAAGGGAAGAGACTCAGTTGCTCTTCTGAGTGTTTATGCTCTGGCAGATAAAGACATCCCTCTGCAAGTGGGCTTACTGCATTTCTGTTCTCTTCTGTTGGATTAAAGCAAAATTTCACAGAACTTTTTCTGCAGGGAATTTTGCATCTAAGCTGGACCATACTAAGTTGTAAATGGCAGTGCAGAGAAAAAGCTAGGGTATTTCCAGGGTTTGGGATCAACAGGAGAAATCTTCATAGTGATTTACAAATTAAACATGTTCTGTCTTGAGTTCTAAGTGGAAAATGTAATATGGAACAAATAGAAATTTGTTGGCGTTCTGCATCAATTAGTAAGAGTAGGATGTGTATAGATCTGTGCAACAACAAGCTGCAGTGTGCTACCTTTTGCTAACAGCCAAATTCTACCTAGACATTTGTTCACTGCTTCAGCAGGGTAGGGGAAGAAAACTGGAAGAATAGAAATGAGAAGGCTCATGGGAAGAGGGAGCTCAGGGAGCTTGCTTGCTAATTACCACCATGGACAAAGCAGGCATAGTTTTGTGAAAGTTAAATTTATTGCCAATTAAAATAAATGTCATTAATAAAAATGTCATTAATAATTGGATTGTAGGAAACAGAAAGGCAAACATTCAGACAAAACCCTTCATCCCCCTTTTCCAGAGTCTACTTCAGTCTCAACCGCCCCTCCTTGATCAATTAGAAATGACCCACTGTGAGAACCCACAGTTTGCTGGAAAGATGGGATGAGAATTAATTAACTCTAGAAGCTGTAAAAGGCTGAAATCAGACTCCAGCTGCAACAGAAGTAACAGTGTGAAACAATGAATGCGGTCAGAGGGCTGAAGATGAGATCAGTGAACTGTATTAGCAGGAGCAGGCAGCTCTCTGGTGATCACTTTGCTCTTGGCTGAGCAACATAAAATTTATCTATTGGGCTTCTGCAAGCCTTGATGAAGCCTTTCCGTTCCTGTTTACTTCAGCAGAATTTTAGCATCTCAGGGAAAGGTGAACTGCAAGAGGAGTTTCATCTCATGAAATGTTGATTCACCTGCACAACAATCCTATGGAGCAATAAGCCTTTCATGTGCAAAGATTCACCAAACTCCATGGGCAGAGAGACTTCAAATCCCAAAACAGGGATGTGCAATTAGTTGTGCTGTCTTCAGACCATAGTCTGGTTCTTGCATCACCTCCTGGGTTTTAGCAATTGCTAGCATAGACAAGCCATAGTTCTTAAAAGTGTTTAAAAAATCTTATTGTAAAAAAATCTCCCATTTTTTGGTCTCTCTGTTTCTTGGCCATCGAGATCATCTTGAGCTCAGATTAGTTATAGGAGAATGCATTTTTCTTTCTTTTCTTTTTCTTTTCTTTTTTTTTTTTTTTTCCTAGTTTTACAATAATAGTTTAAATAAGTATCTTGACAAATGTGGGTTATTTTGGTACCAAATGAAGTTCTGTCTTAAATGGCTGTAAATAATTTGACTTAACTGTTAGAGTATAATCCATAAAAAAAGTGTGTGGAAACACTAGTTAAGATAAGTATTGCAAAAAGCCCATTAGGAGTGAATAAAATGGGGAACGATTCATTTTCAGCTGAAAGAAATGCCATCTTCATATTTATAGGATTTGCAATTACTTAGCAGTAATTACTTAGTAATTACTTAGTAGGAATAAAATTTTACATACATAAACTCCTACCTTCCACTTTTGCATTCACAAAAACAATCTTACAGTCACAGAAACACAGTATATAACCTTTATTTTTCAAAACAGATAACAATCAGCGTATGATTTTGAAATATTTCAGGCTAATTTGAGTAAAGCCATGCAATTCAAATAATACTTTTTAAGGTTCCAGTTGAATTTAAAGAGAAAAATGCTTGCCATTTTGAGAGCACAACTGTTTCCTTTGTTCTTAGAGGATATCAGATTGATATTAGAGAAGAAAAATAAATAGCTCATTTCATATTACTTTTTCAGTGATAATCAATATTTATGTTTACAAAGTGCTCAGAGGCATAACTGAGACATTATGGGAATGATACGTGAAACATATCCTCACCACCTCTCAACTCAAATGAGAAAGAAAGGTTATGGCTAATCATAGTGTATGGAATTGACAGTGGTAAAGATTGTTGAAAAAAATGAAGGCTTATAGTGCAATCTTGCTTTGATTATTGAAATTGGATAAAGTCCTGAATGAAATTAAATGATTTTTGGAAAGTTATAGTCTTATTTTAAGATTCATAATACTAGCCTAAGGCAATAACATCCATAATAATATACACATAATCATAAATTGGGGAAAAAAAACAAAACCAAAACAAAAGAACCCAACACTGGAAATATAAAAAGGCCTACTGAAACAAAAGTAACAAGTGACATTTTATCGTGAAATATTCTCTGCCAGCAGCTTTATATCACTGTAAATCTGCGAAAATGATTTCACAGGTAACAGTGGAGGCCTGAACTTTTTTTTATCTGCCATGCACTCCAGTACGGAAATAGCTCCTCCTAGAGAATGATCCTACCTCTTTTCAGAAACCATTATCTAAGTTGCTTGTTGCAATCACAGATTTTACAGCAAAGGACAAAATATGAGACTGGATCTAGTCTATGTGAGTCCGTAATCAATAATCAGAGTATCAGCTTGACTCAACAGTGCAACAGCAAAGCAATCTGAATTGCATTAGTTTGTCAGAGATTCAGTTGTCCGAAACACATGTGAGTCAGTTATTTAATTGAGATATGAGCAGGTTGGCAGGCAGAGAGAATGGGGAAAAGCAGTGATATTGCCTGGAATTATGCAGAAAATAGAGCAATGGATTGTTACAGGTGTGGTCAGATGCTACAAGTATCCAGTTTTACAATGAATGTAGTGCTCCTTCAGCTGGTAGTTGTGTCTCTAAGATCACTGCTGTACCTTTCATAGATTCAACGCAAGCATACAGCAGCTTGAGAAAATGCGTAGCATTTTACATTGTCAGATGTATAAACAAGCAAGGTATTGATTTTCAGTTAAGGGTTTTCAGGGATTTAATGTCTTCCCATCACTTTCCTAAGGTAACCAATCAATTATTTCTATAGAAACAAACAAAAGAAAGTTGAAGATAGGCTTACTTACTTCCAGTTCTCATCTATAATTTATCAACAGGGATGTATTCTGAAAAAATCCTTCTAATAGCTCAGAAACTCTGTCTATGGGGAGGAGTTACTTCTAGTAAAATCAACTACCCAGATTATTGCATATGCTTCTGATTTTATTTTTATTTTTTCTCTCACTGATCTGAGATTGTAACAAATTGGCACGCATGCACCCTGGGTATTTGGATTGGTTTCATGTTTTGACCAGCATCATATATCACAGCTTTCCATCTTATGCTCATAGAAAATGGTTGGCTGGTGTATCCTTAATTTTCATGGTTTTTGCTGCAAATAGATCTGATTTTGTTTTGTTTTGTTTTGCTTGTTTCTTGGGATCGGCATGTTGATAAAACATCGATTTTTCTCACCTTTGCCATGTTGTTTTACTTTCTCTTCTCACTTTGGGCTTTATAATGTGAACTACTTGTACTTTGCCAGCAGGCAGGGCAAACATAGTGCCTTTAACTGCTTCAGGTTAAACAGAAATATCCATCATTAGCATGACTTGAAGAATCAACTTACTGGTAGTATGCTGAGCTGCTGATAGCAATTGTGAACTTCAAGCCACAATAGTCAATGAGAAATAAAAATAGCACCAGTTGCAGGGCACATTTTCATGATTTATTGAGACTTTCTCCTGTCAGCAATTTGATTGAACTTTAAGAAGAAGTGATTTAGGATTGCCGGCAGTCTTGCAATCTTGCTGATATAAAAGCTATGTTCAGCCTCACACTCCCTAGTTAAGAATAAATGGAAAACAGACTGACTTTAATGCTGAGCAGGTTAAGAAAAACGGAGCTAAAGAGGCAGGAAATCACACACACGCTCACACACACAATCAGGCCAATGCTTTGTTAGCAGCCTTTCCACGAGAAATGGGGTGCTTTTACTTCTCTGCCTTTGTCAAACACAGCTTATTACTCTTTGTTTTGCCCGTGTCTCATGGAAACTTTTCCAGGTACATGTGACAAATGGATCACATTCTTGCAATGACAAGTACCACTGTGACTACTGTGGACCTCAGCAGAAAAGATAATGTGCAAAATGCAAGCAATCACAGGACTCAGTCTCTCTACTGTCCTGGCTTCCTTGTCTTTCTCTTGGAAGTCTTTGAGTGACTCTTTTCTTCCTTGTCTGAAGAAGGATTGGTAGGAAACTGCAGTCCAAATCCGTTAGGTCCATTTATGAAAACACATTGAAAGTAGCGGACAGGAGCTAGGAAAACAAAGAAGAGGTGGTTAACATTTATAATTTCCAAATCAACACCATGAGTCTCTGTTGTATTCCCTCAGAAAAGGACCGTATAATTTAATTCCCATTAATTGAGTTACAACAACACACATCTTTATTGTCTCACAAGGCAGACTGCACATGTCAACAAGATTTTAGCTGAAGAGTTCAGCATGAGATATTTGTAGAAGTTTAGAAACTATAGACAATTTACATTTTTTTTCCATTATTCCACACAGTTGTAGGCCTTTTTTTTTTTTTCCCCACAGAATATTTACATTCTAGGATAGCTGAGTGGAAACTCCTGAAAGCAACATGCATATTTTCTGATCTTGTATTTCACAGACACTTAGAGATAGATTGAGAAGTTCCAGTAGGTCTCCAGTGAAATGGTGATGGTGGCATTTTGTATTAGGGTTCAGATGAGTATATACATGTATCTATTGGTCTGAAAAGGGCAATACATGGCACTGGCTCCTTTTTTTGATTTTTGAGCACTGCTCTGTATAGTCACACTTCATTGTGCAATATTTTAACGGTTTTCAGGAACAGATCTTTTCAGCACAGATGAAATAGACCTTATTTGTTACAGAAGCTGAGTTGTGTGGACTCTGAAATTAATGCTGACAAGATTTTAAAAGATAACTATGAGTCTGGCATGCATTTGTGAAAACGATTGGAGGAGTGCTGGAATCTGAAAAAGTTAGTTCTCATACAATTATTTTTCTGCTGACCATTTCTTTCCTCTGCTGTTCATTCCACATTAAAAAAAAAAATAATAAAAAATAATAATAATAATAATAATAAAAAAAAAAAAACAAAAAAAAAACCCAAGCTGTTTATTCTAACAGGTCGATCTGAGATGGACTCCAAGGCTCCCTTGTGTTTTGAACTCAAAAGCAAGGTTTGTTTATTTACCGCCAAGTCACAATAAAAAGTTGAACACAGAATGGTGTGTCAGAAATGCTGGTATGTTCAACCCAATTATTTTATCCTCTGTGGCTTTCTTGCTTCACTCATTCAAAGGTTAAGTATATACTGTCTAAAAGGTGCACTTGAAAGTGATGTTAGAAATAAGATTCTTCTGAAAATGACTTACTGCTTTCCCTCTAAATCTAAGAATAGAACCATTTTTTTCCCTCAGGTATTGGTATTTTCACTGTGGTCCTCTGTAAGATGAATCCAGGATCTCTTTTAGAAAGATGAAATTAGATTAGAGAAATCACTTTCTGATTAGAGCCCACAGCAAGGATATAGAGATTATTATAAAGGCATTTATAGAAACATGGAATCATAGAATCACAGAGTTGGAAGGGACCCACGAGGATCATGGAGTCCAGCTTCTGCCTCCACACAGGACCACCACTGAAATCCTACATATGAAAATGTTGTCCAATTCCAGCAGTCTTGGTGCCTGTTTCATGCTTGACCACCCTCTGGTGAAGATCTTTTCCCTAACCCCCAAATTACCCTCCCCTGATGCAGCTCCACGCTGTTCCATTGGATCCTGACACTGTCACCAGACAGCAGAGTTCAGTGCTACTCCTCCACTCCCTGTGAGGAGCTGTAGGCCACCATGAGGTCTCCCCTCAGCCCCCTCTGCTCTGGGCATCTCTTAATGTGGATCAGCTATATTCTCTGTGTTTGCTTACTGTGTGGTATACAGTAGTTTCTGGGATATATAATAATTACAATTAACAGGCTTATTTCACTCAATAAGATATCTTTCCTAAGTAAAGCTAATTAAAAACAATAAATTGCCACAAAAGAAGCTATGATTAAAACCAATCGTTTCCTATCAAAATGCTCTGCCAGAGATTTCTCAATAGGTTTCACTTAATTAAAAAAAAAAAAAAAAAAAATCAAGACTAAAATCGACTCCCACTGAGCATCAATTTGATAAAAAAATATTTTATAGGAAAGAAATTGCCAATTTAAAACTCACCTTTATCTTTTAAAATGGAAATAATTTCTGCATATTCCTCTAACGGATATAAAAATTAAAAAAATAAAAATGAAATAAAATTTAAAAATAATTAAAAACATAGTCAGTAGCCAGTTCACTCTTATGAAGAAGGCAAGTAGGGTATCATGCACTTTCTAGCCTCAGTAAATACCAGTAAGTACTTTATTTAAAGACAGTAGAAATCGTTTCAAAAATAACTGTGCATGCCATCAGAATGCAAAATTCAACTCTTTCTTTCACACATTCAGTAAGACCTGATACATACTCGATCTTTTATAGGAAGTACTTTAAACATGTTTATATATATCATAATCAGCATGCTTGATACCACAGCATTTTGTAAAGAGGTCATTTTTAGTTTTTGGATGGTATTCAAACTTTTTTTTTTTTTTTTTTTCAAACTGTCTTGGTTAGTTTTCCTATTAATACTCCCAGCACATAACTGCTCCTCATTGTTTGCCTTTTTTTTTTTTATTTTTAAAGCATATAAAACAAACCCAGTCGCCTATACACAAGAAATCCTTTTCCACTATTTCTCTTTAATGTTGTCCTTTTCAACTGCTTTATCATGCAAACCTAAGCTGCAAAAAAAATACAGATAAAATGCCATTCAAACAAATGCCAACATCTTTGGAACTATGTATGTATCAGAATCTGCAGCATTGTTACGATGCACCATAGCTACGAAACAAATTGAATTTTGGCATGCAAAGAGGACTATGAATGTAACCCCTTCTGCTTTCATAATTCCCACATTAAATATGAATACAGAATGTGTCTTCTAACTGAAGAATGTTCCCAATTCTAATGTATTGTCTCATATCTTCAGGGCAAATGTTATTTAAAAAAGAGCGATGAGCAGTAGGAAACATGGCTTAACATTGTAATTCTTTCCTTAGATTATCAGAGGAAAAAAGTCTTATATCTGGACTTATGCTTTTGGATAGGATGTAATGTATGATAGCTTTCAATTCTTTAGCAGAAGAGGAAAAAGACTGGGTGTCATGCTTGAGGCCTTTTTTCATTAAAAAGTTACTCTAGTGCTTTAATCATCTTCATTACCCTTTGCTGGATTCTCTCCAGTAAATCCACATTTCTCTTGTATTGGGGAGCCCAGAATTGGACCCAGTAAACTACATGTGCCCTTACTAATGCTGGTGTATCCACGGCTCCTAATTTTAAGTCATCTGCAAACTTCTGACAGTACACTCTGCCTCAGCATTAGTATAATTAATGAAGACATTAAATAGGATCAACTCCTGTGCTCACTCTCTGACACTTCCAGCTTAAAATCCCCAAAATAAAAATGATCATACGTCTCACTTTCATGGACTTTATGCATACTGAAAATCAAGTCCAAGTGAACTTTTGTCCTTCTGCTCCACAAGAGGTTTCCGGTATCCCTAAGCTCATCTTAGGAGACCTGCTTTACATTTTGACAGGTGTACCATCCCAGTGAAACTCCCCTATCCTGGGGAGTACACTGCTATCTGCTCTCCAACTTTGTACCATGGATCACCACACCCTGGGCCCTGTCATTCAGACAGTTTTAAATCCATATCACTGTTTGCTCATCCAGCCCTTACTTCTCCATGAGCATCCTATTGCTGATAGTGCTGAAACCGGTAGACAGCATTCACTTCTCATCTCAGCTTAACACAGCTACCAGTGCACTCAATCAGAGAAATTATCAGGTAGATCAAGCATTTTTTCAGTGACTATCTTGAAGGATTTTGTCTGTAGATGTCAGTGATCAAACCGAGACCTTTATATGAAATGGATAAATCTTGTCTAGTATTCTACAGTACTAATGACTCTAATGGATCTGGAATGCTGTTAGTGCAAAGGAACAGGCAGCTGTGTCCTGCTTGTATTATTCTGTAATTTTGTACTGTGAGAATCCTTCTTTGGTTGTTTTTTTTTTGGCTCAAAGTTTGCTTCCTGAGGTAGTTTGTTGAGGAGGCAAGTGATGGGTGCTGTGTGGCAATCAACATCGCTGTGTGGACAATTTTCCATCTTTGGAGCTGTTTGCCTTCAGAAGATAGTGCTCAGGACTGTTTACTGGTGGAAGAACTAGCCTGTGACCAAATAACTCCTGTTTGCTATGGGAGGCTGGGGGATGATACCATTGTATCCTGCGAAGGCAAGATGCAAGTTGGTGCCTCCCTGCTTCCTCTTATCTGCTGGCAAGGCCAGGAAGATAAGAACAAAGGAGTTTCCTGCTGAGGCCCCAGAGCCAGAAGCTGCCACTCAAAGGAGAGCTGATTCGACCACTTTGGATTTGAGCTGTCACTCCAAAGACAGCTGACTCGACCACTCTGAAACTATTGAAAAGGGGCCATCATCACCATGGTCGTCTCTCGTCGTGCTTCGTCGTCGTTGGCAACAGGACAACTCTGCCTGACGACCCACCGCTACTGAAGATCAAAGACTGAACTACGAACCTCGCTGGATCCATGGTGGTGACTATCTCCCTCTTGCTGCCTATAAAGACCCCTTGCTTCTTCTTTTCTATCTTTTCTATCGCCCTCCTTCCCTTCCCCCATTACCCTAATTCATGATAGTGTCCATACTCCCCTTCCCCAGTTCCCCTGATTAAGATTTGTAATAAACTGGTTGGACCAACATTTGAACCGTTGCTTCTTAATCTCACGCCGGGTATATAGATAATAAAAGAACCTCCTCTCCCTCCTATAAATTGGAGCGAGACATGTACTCCTGCTGATCTTCTAGGAAGAGGTGTGAATTTGAATGTCTCCAGATAAGAGCAGTCTGAAAAACTGTCAAATTAACTGGGACAGCAGTTCCTAATTATAAACCAGTCCTGACAACAAATAAACTCGAGGTAAGGTAACAGAACTGACAAACTCAGACAAGATTAATAAAGGGGGTTAGTAGAGTGGTTGGGGTAGATGTCGCAGATGTCCTCCTGTAGTAGGAGCAGCATAAATCCAAAGTTCTTCCAGATCATCCACGTGACTTTGATTATTTCAAAAAAGAGTACCACTTAACTTCGATT